TGTGACCCATAATCTGTACAATTCCATTGAAAAACGAACTGAAATAGTGTGGTTGCATAAATATGCACACCCTTAAACTAATACTTTGTTGAAGTACCCCTGACTGTATGACGGCATTCAGTCTTTTTGGGTAGGAGTCTATCAGCGTGGCACATCTTGACTTGGCAATCTTTGCCCACTCTTCCTTGCAAAAGTGCTCCAAATCTGTCAGATTGTGAGGGCATCTCCTGTGTACAGGCCTCTTCAGGTCTTCCCACAGATTTCCAATGGGATTCAGGTCTGGGCTCTGGCTGGGCCGCTCCAAAACTTTGATCTTCTGGCGAAGCCATTCTTTTGTTGATTTGGAGGTTTGCTTTGGGTCATTGTCGTGCTGAAAGGTGAAATTCCGCTTCATCTTTTAAGCAGAGGCCTGAAGGTTTTGTGCCAAAATTGACTGATATTTGGAGCAGTTCAAAATTCCCTCCACCTTGACTGCACCAGCCCCGGTTCCAGCTGCTAAAAAAACAGCCCCAAAGCATAATGCAGCCACCACCATGCTTCACTGTGGGTACGGTGTTCTTTTGGTGATGCGCAGTGTTGGCTTTGCACCAAACATACCTCTTGGAATTATAGCCAAAAAGTTTCACCTTGGTCTCATCGGACCATAACACGTTTTACCACATACTTTTGGCAGACTTGACAATAGCATATCAAAGGTTTTTAGGCCAGAACACCACTTTAAAGCCCAGATGTTGTGTAGGAAAATTATTTTTGTATTAGTAGCAGCTGCTTCCACATAATGGCAAAGACAAAGAAATCTACGCCTGGATGCTCAAAGCTTCTTGAACTAGCAGCATTGACCTTTGGTTAGGTTTGTGCAGACCTGTGTGGTCACTATGCGGTGTAACAACACTGATATGCGCTAATATGGCTGCCAGTTTACTAAGCACACCTACATCGTACATACACTCACTGGCCATTTTATTAGGAACCAAATGGATGCACTTTGTAGTTTTACACTAACTCACTGTAGCCCATCTGTTGTTGCACCAGTTATCAGCCGTCCTCTACCTCGTCCATCAGTGGAAAGGGACCACCATAAAACCCCGCTGGTGTTGGCACAGTAGTGTGCGTGGCACAGAAGTATCAGACATATTGATGCATATCCAAAGTGCACAGACCACTCCATGTAAGATATAAGATAATCCACCTGCGTAATGAAGGGAAATGTCAAAGGAAAGTGAAAAAAGAGGAATTTCCAAAACTAGAGTTCCAAAAATATTTAAAGATACAGAGAACACGAGACTCCAAACAACCACCTGAAACGCCTGGTAGACCACCAAAATTGTCTCCATCAGATAAACAGTACTTAACCTTTGAGGGAGTACTTAATCTTTGAGAAGCAATCAATTCAACCAACGTCTAAGACTGAACTTTGGGAGCTCTAGGAAAATATCTCATCGCAGATTTTTTCAAAAAAACTAGAAGGAAGTCTCCTCAGAAGAAGAGAAGCTATAATTAAGGCAATGGTTGGGTAAACACTGAAAATTTTGATATTTATAAATATACAGCATCTGTATATTTCAGTTAAATATGTTTTGACTGCTGCTGAAAATTAATAGGTTGCAGCCGTTTTGACTGGAAATTCAGGGTGGTCTCCAACTTTTTGCTCAGTACAGTACATAGTATGTGTTTCTGATAAAATGGCCAATGGGTGTCAGTCAAAGGGATGACCCAGCAGCCAGACTGCATGTCCCATACTTTCTGAGCATCACAACCCACTGAATCCTCCTACATAGCCAAGAGAAGCCCATACTAAATCCCATTGCTTTTAATTATACACACCCAGTGCTGATTCAGCAACAACGCCCCCTCTATCAGCCCCATAAGACCTCCTCTGGCTCTGAACACACTAGGGGAGCCATAGGACGCTGCTTAAGCCTCTGCTTAACTCTTAACTCTATGGCCTAACAAGACTCAGCCTTCCACCCCCACTGAGTTTTGCTATTTGCACTTCCTACAGTGCTTTGCTTTCTGTTAGAAGGACAAGAAGGTTCTAACGCCTGCCATGGAAGTTAATTTAGCATAAAGAGACAAACAACTCGGCTCATTAAATCATGCCAAAATCACCAATTCAAGAGAACGTCAACGTCTATTGCAGCATCTATATGGATACAAAGGCTAACTATGTTTTACACAAGTCCCTTTGGCGTAATTAAAAAAAGATCCAGGTCCATTACGAGAGCATAAAGAGCCATTGCCTCTGGCTCTCAAGAGCAGCTATTCTCCTCCTCCACTCTGATTCATTCCCCTCAATGCTATCCTTGGCTTACTATCCCCTTCTTGCAGTCTAGGGCCTCTAGGACCATGAGAAGGTACCAGGTTTTTCAGTGCACTTTGTCTTCTGGATTTGGCGTTTCTATGGCAATAGCACCCCCCCTGCCCTTTCCCTATTGTCCCCAGGGGTGCACCAGAAGACCCCCATCAGCTTTGTCATAGGGACAATATGCCCCCACCCCCCTCCTTCTCCAGGGAAAAAGGAACCAGGATTGTGGGATATGAGTAGATGGAGAGAAGCAAGCAAAAACCCTCTCAGTCATCAGGATTATGCTGACAAACTCCAAGGATGCATGCAATTACGAGACGGATCCGGGTTTGAAAATACATCTTAAGAAGCCTCGCGTGCCGCTGTGAACTGTGGGGACGGACTGTATATGCAGGCATGTGTGAAAACCAACAGATCCAGACTTGACAAGAGCTGGGTGCATCAAAGCACACTCAAGAAGAGGAAGGCGATGGAAGAGTTCCCTTAAGGCGAACTGTCAGAGTTGAACCGAATCTTTTAAGTAGAACATCATAGTGCTTGCTTGGACTGCTTCTAGCCTTTCATTTTTGGGGTACACTAAGAGGATTCATCAAATGCTAGACTACATGCTTTCACTGGCTAACCGAATGCAGATGTCGTTCCCTAGAAATGGCTAAAAAACACTATAGGGCTCTTTTTCCACTGCAGAACCAAAAAGTTCTCAAGGCCATAACGTGCAGTTCCACTCTGGTGCGGACTTCTTTTTTCATCTGCTGTGCTGCTAAATCTAAACCAGAAGTAAATTACTCACACGAGTGGCTCAGCAACAGCTAACAGGCTAAACACCACAGAACATGTTTGATTCCAGCTTTTACTCCCAACACCAGTCACTCGATTTTGTGTTCCCAGAGTCTTTATTCTCTAAATGGGTGTTATTTGAGCATCAATTAGCTGGAAGCTGCTAACCTAATGCTAAATAGCTGCTCTCTCCTAGTAACAGGCTAAACACCACAGAACATGTTTGATTCCAGCTTTCACTCCAACACCAGTCACTCAATTTTGTGCTCTTCGAGTCTTTATTCTCTAAATAAGTGTTGTTTGAGCAACAGTTAGCTGGAACCTGCTAGCTAACTTAATGCTAAATAGCTCCTCTCTCCTAAAACAGCAGTGCTGTGGCTCAGCAACGGCTAACAGGCTAAACGCCACAGAACATGTTTGATTCTGCCTTTCGCTCAAACACCAGTCACTCGATTTTGTGTTACCAGAGTCTTTATTCTCTAAATGGGTGTTATTTGAGCATCAGTTAGCTGGAACCAAGCCTGTACTGCAATGAATGGAACCCTTAGCCTGTCATTTGACTTTGCTTTCTCAGATGTGGGGATATGAGCTTGTATTGTCTCAGATCATCATCTTCTAAACTTGTGTCAGTTGCTTCTGTTAGTCAGAACTGAACCTGTTCTGTGGTGGGAAGAGCTGGCAGCATGCTAGCTAACCTAATGCTAACTAACTCCTCTTTCATAGCAAGCAGAGCTGTTTAACATTTAACAGATGTTACTTGTAGTTTGACATTTACTGAACAGTGGATTGACAATAATGCACTGCTTTAGATAATTTGGTGACTCCGTAAGCGAACTGAGCTTTAATTATTAATTTTTGATGTGGCGGAACAATACCGACATAAACGTAGAACCAATCAGCGAATACAACGTCACTGCATCATCCCACCAAACGGTTCTGAGGCCCTGAGTACGCTTAGCTAACCGCTGAGCATGGTTCCATGTCTAACCGTGTTCATGTGTAAATGCTACTGTAACGGTAACTTTATGTGCTCTGAATTGTTTGGTCTTACAGTGGAAAAGAGGCCAGAATTCACAATATCTATTTTACTCGAATGTAGCCAATATTGCTTTTACCCATTAGAGGGACTATAATGATTAACAAGAACACTCACTGTCCACTTTTATTAGAAACCAGTGTTTCTGGCCACTTTATGAAGTTCACCTAGGTCCACTATATACAGTCGTATGCAGTGCCACTTGTTAAAACTGCATGTTCTGGGTGAAAACAAGTACACATTCTCTACAGAGAGGCACAATTTGATGCACTATTACTATTAATTTGATGAATTTAATATATGGGGAAAAGAAAACACAAAATGTGTAAAGGTTATGGCACGTTTTATATTTTATTTTTATCTGTATCATAACTTTTGCTGCACAATTAGCTGCTCTCTACCCCAATATGACCAAAGGACCACTGCTGGCCAGATATTCTTTAGGTGGTGGTCCATTCTTAGCACAGCAGTGACACTGACATGGTTGTGTGTGTGGTGCTAGTATGAATGCAGAGTGGCTTTGCGGTTAGAAACTGACCACTGATGAAGAGCTAGAGGACAGCGAACACAAACTGGACATGGAGATAGACTGCAGTCAGTCTCTAAGTGAACACCAGAAAGGTGGAGTCACCAGGTAAGGGGTTTCTAATAAAGTGGCCGATTAATGTGTGTGGTGGTGCTGGAGGAACTGACCATACAACCAAAATACATACATACATACATACATACATACATCATCTAAACCGCTTATCCTTCAGGGTCGCGGTGGGGTGCTGGAGCCTATCCCAGCTGTCATTGGGCGGAAGGCAGGATACACCCTGGACAGGTCGCCAGTCCATCGCAGGGCAGACAGACAGACATACATATACAATCACACACACATTCACACCTAGGGGCAATTCAGCATTTCCAATTGGCCTAACCACCAACCAAAATATTTATCATAAAATACAAAAATAAACAAGGAGTTCATCCAACACTGATGTCCCAGGTGGCCAGGGCAGCTTCACCGATCCTTCACCCCTGACATCCATTTCAACACTCTCTTCACGGTTTTAACCACCATGTTGTTGCTGAGGGCCCGAGTGAGCCGCTCTCTCAGACTCTCCTCTTTCCAAAGGCCTTCCCCCTTCCTCTCGGCCTTCAGCTCGGACTTCAGCAGCCGTCTGTGGAGCTTCAAGTAGAGTCGAGAGTGAGGGTCCAGGCCTTGGAGAGGGGCGGTCCTGCCCAGACCTAAGCGCAGGACCTCCTCATTCACACATGTGTTAAACAGGGAACCCTGCAGACAGAAAGAGTGAAACAACACAACAGTAATTACAACATTACATTTTTCTTTCTTTTGACAAAAACACTGTAATTATTTACCCTTACAAGCTGCACTTATCACCAATGGTAGCGAGCAAGCAGACTCTGTAAAAAGTTCTCTAAACTCTTAATCCATACCATGTTTTGTAAGTAGAAGATATTTTATTATGATTAGATGTGACGTTATTGTAGTTATTGTTGTGTGAAATCTTTTCTAATTTTTGCCAGGTTTTTGACATTAAAACATACAGAAAATGTTCAGACATGTAGCCATTGAAACAAAATGTAAACTGAAAGTAACCAGGTAGTTACACTTGCTTTAGAAATTACATTTTAATAATTATGTAAGGTTAATCTAATGTATAAAAAACATTTATTTGCTAGCATTTAACACCTTAAAATCTCAGATGTGTTATGTACTGAGGCTTTTTATTCAGGATTTATTTAGTAACAACTTCATGTTGTAAAGCAGGTTGGCTAACAAGTAATCTTTCGGAAAGCAGAAATGTATGAAATATGTCTTCTCTTGAAGAAGAAAAAAAAACATTAAAATACATGCTTATACATTGCACTTTCCGAAAGATTACTTATATATATATTATTGCCAATCAGTACTTATAAGAAAATACATAACACAATTACATAATATGTTACATAATGAACCAGAAGGGGAAAGTTTCTGAACGTTAAGTTCGCTTAATGAAGCTACTGCTATAGTATCCCAGGTGGTTGCTATTTTATGTGTGTGTGTATATATATATATTTATATATGTGTGTGTGTGTGTATAAGTGATTTTTGGTGCATTTCTATTGGTCCATTCATCATGAAATTTTCAAACAATGTAAAGAAGGACTGCCGTGTTCAAATGATGCAGAAAAATAAATATGGACAAAAATGGACGTTTTTCTTTGGACAGTGATGATATATGTCCAATATATGTCTGATATGTCCGATATATATCCAAAGTTTGAGTCTCCATTTATCCATGACAAAAATGTTTTTTCTTTCCAAAAACAAGGAAACCTTTCATCAAATCCAAGTCATTCTGTGTGCTACTGTGTTTTCTATCATTATGTCAAAGAAGCTCCATGCTGCCTTTACTGTTGGATGCACTGTGAAAGTTTCTGAGCGTGTGAAAATATTCAGAACGGCATTTGGATCAGTAAGGAATTTTGACTGATTTGTTTCATCAGTATAACAATAAATGAGAACTGGCACATTATTTATATTCCTATTTGTAAATTTTGTTACTCAAAATTACAGTTTGTGACAAAACTAAATTAAAATCAACAAATTTTCAATGTTGCTACATTACATTCTTTAACTATCAAAATAACAGCAATGACATCCGCGTCTCAAAGCATATACATCACGGAGGACCTACAGGGGGGTTAAAAGTCTATCCTCGGTCAAGCATGCCCATTTCATGGTGTGATCTGACCTGTGGCTCTCTGCTATCTGACCTACCCTGCTGACCGACACCAGGCAGTGCAGGCTCTGGTCCTGACGGCTGATGAGCCGGAGCCACACCGTCTGGGGCGGCCTGAGCCGCTCGGAGAGCCAGTCCCAGCCCTGCGGGGTCAGCTCCACCCCGGCCAGACGCACATCCAGGGGGGCCACAGGCTGACCTGTCAGGGGGGCAAGAGAAGAGTCAGCTAGTTGAGTCACCTCTGTCCAGTGACCCTTTAAAACCAGGTTCAACATGAGTGCATTTCAAAGTGCCTTTACGATGGGTAAAAACAAGCAGGGCTCAAAGCTGTCTCTCTTCAAAAGGCTTCCAGAGGACAGATGTTTTTACTGTGGTCTGAGTCTTTATGTGGGTAAGATTATTAAGGATGACATTATCCTGACACAATGAGACAAAAACTAGTGTCACATGCCTCAGAGAAAGAAGACCAAACCAGTCAAAAGTTTGGACACACCTGAATGAATCTATGTAGCGTTTTGATCAAAAGGCTTACGATATAAAAGTTGTGAAATTTGTTTCTGAAACAAAAACAGAACTACATTTTTCAGTATACAGTACCTCAGTACAGCTTCCATTCCTTTCAGGAGACTTGCTTTCTGCTAAAAAAAAAACTGTAGGCATATATTTACCTGCAAAGTTCAGTCTTGGAAGTTGGTTGCATTTTCGGCTTTTGTACGATTCAAGTAATCCCATAAAACTTCACTCCACATTTCAGACGTCCAGCTTCTTTTTTCTTTTCTCAGTAACAAATTCTTAACACCTACACATCCTTTCAGATCCAGCGTTGACTCTTCTCACAGTGGAAGGATGGCTGTGGATGTTTTCAGATCTGAAGCAGCTTGATTTTCTCCTCTCTCTCAAGGACAAAAGCTTTATGTGCTGTTTATCTGATGGGGGCAGTTTTGCTGGTCTAAAAGGTCTTGCAGGTGGTTGTTAGGAGTTTATTATCTATGTAGCTTTTATGAATTTTTCGAACTCCAGTTTTGAAAACTCCTGTTTTTCCACTTAATTTTAATTTTTAATTTTTCTTATGCAAGTAGTACTGCTACTATGCCACTACTAGCAGGGTCCTATTGTGGTCCTTGTCCACTAATATCACCTTTAGCAAGAGAAAAACGTAAGGTGAGTTTGCGTACTTGCTTGTATGAATGTTAAGCCCAACTCATTTCACCCCTTAGCCCTCCGTTTTGCATGTATACTTCTAGGGGTAGGATGTTCCGATTCTTGTTGAGATGGAGGGGTAGGGCGAAGTGTTGGGGCTACATGGCCCTCCAAACAGAGGTTTTTCAGAGACACGCGTTATGAGAAAAAAAGAAAAAGATGGCTGCACAAACGACCAAAGAAATGCACGAATTGAGAATTTTCTCTGCTAAAAAAATTAAAATAATCATTATATTTTCTTATCTTAATGTCGTTTCAATGTATTATGGTCGTTTTCTTCATAACAAGCATTAAAAAATCACTTGCAGTATGCTAATGTCTCTGTACCTAGCTAGCAAAATTTCCAGTTCCACCCTAAATAGTCCAGCAGTTCTGATGCCTGAAGTGCCAGAATGTAACTGCTGCACCATTTAAGGTGGAACGAGAAAATCTGAACAAGAAGCTGGCGAATAGCTGACTTCAGCTTCCTATCACTGAAGAATTAGGGGTGGTAATGAATAATAATAAGTAATTGCCCCCCCCTCTTTGAAGTCATATGATGCCCTAAATGTAACTAAAGCCCAGCAGTGAGGAGCTGAACTTTACCCTCCTCTGCTGTCACTGAAGACAGGCCAGGTTGCCTACAGAGTACTGTAATAGTAGCCTGTTAATGAAGTAATGCTCTTTTTATTTGAGGGTCCCATTTCGCAAGGAAGATTTTAACCACTACCACGTAACAAGGTACAAGGTAACACTCGAAAACAAGGGGCAGGGGTAAAAATAAGAAATGGGACTGGGCCTTAGTGTCTGTTTGAAAGGGGAACATAATGTCAGAGAGATCTTTGGGAACACCTTTTGTTGGGAGGACACAGCTCTAAATCGGGAAGGACGGAAGAGCTAAAGTGCTGATAAAGTGCACAAAAGTAAAGCAGCTCAAAATCAACACAAAAATGGTTCACTGACCACAAAATCAAGATTTTGCCAGGGCTACCCCCTGTCTCCTGACCTAAACCCAACTGAAAACCTGTGGGATGAGCTGAAGAGGAGAGTCCACAAGCATGGACCTCAGAATCTGAAGGATCTGGAGAGGTTCTGCATAGAAGAATGGATTCAGATTCATTTCCATAAGTTCTCCAGTCTTATTAAGCATCACAGGAGAAGACTCTGAGCTGTTATCAAGAGAAATTAAGTGAAAGGGTGCCAACAATTGTGGCACATGCAGATTTGAGATAAGTACTTATTTCATGATAAAGTTTTTTTTCATTCAGTCATTGTACTTCATATAAACATTAGGTTTCTGTTTATATTTTGAATGAATAAGCAATAAAGCATCCTGTTTGCAGCTTGTTTTACCAATTTTTACCAGGGGTGCCAATGTTTGTGGACCGCATTATATATAGTGAACATAAGAAAACCCCTTCTGTCATTAGATGTGTCCAAAGTGTTGACCGGTACTGTATCTTCTCTGAGAAAGAGTGATTTGAATCAGTTTCTAGCGCTCCCTACACAAATATACACAACTGTGGGCATAGTAGAGAGCAGACAATCATAGGTCTAAATAAAAACTCCTATTCCGAGACGGCTGATGAACAAGCAGAGAGGACAAAACCTAAGCCACAGCCATATGGAATACACACACAATACACACATAGTCAGATGTGGCCATCAATTCAGAATGAAAGCCATAATCCTTTTATCTTCACTTCAGTTGGCAATAAAAGCTGATCTCTGGTTTATATAGAGCTGAGGAAAGCTTATTCGAATCATTTAAACCCACTTTCGTGGTCCGGCTGGCCTGTAATTCAATCATCGGGCGCTTCTCTCTCCACTAACTGCTTTACCGGGATATTTCATCAAAGTGGACCGAAACTAAATCTTGTAAAACGTGCAAATGTTTACTATTCAAACCATCCAATTGAATTAGGAGAGGGGGATAAGTGCGAGTGCCGTCTGTCTCATCAGAACAACTTCTCTCGCTTCACTGAGAGAAAATAAAAGCCCGATTAAGAAAAGAGATTCAACAAGCTGAGACATCGACTTCGTCGAGAGGTGAAATGATGAGAGAACATGGAAAAAAATATCCAAACAACCCGTCAGCCTGCAGAGAGACAGTTGGAGAGACAGACCTTTGTGTTTGCAATCCCAAAAGACTGGGATACACAATGAGGATTAATTCATAATTGCGGGCAGCTGTTCAGATGAACGTGGTGGTCTCTGACAGCTGCAAAGTGAATTTGCTGGCTTAATGACGAGTGATTAATTGGGTCTGTCTGAGGTGGGCATGGTGGGCTTTTGTTTGGAGGTTTAGGGTGAAGGAGGGGGGCGTCTGAGCTCTTACGTTTAGTCAGCAGGGGAGACACCAAGGGGACATAAATTGGGATGTGTTCCACTTCAAGGCCCTTTTCTGTTACGCTCCTCACTCTGCCTCTGATACTGATGCTTCTCTCGATGAAGCGGGCTGGGATTTCAGACGGAGAGCTGAATTTAGTGATCTGAGAAGCAAAAGGAAGAAAGAACAATTCGTTCATTCATTCATTCATTCATTCATTCATTCAACCTCTTACATTCAAGTAATAAAATAACTTGCTTGAAAACACAACATTTTAACTAAACTGTCCACCTCCTGTCCACAAGCACTGCCCAGTTTACTGCTCTAAACTCCTGATTCAGCCTACAAAGGTCTTGATTAACTAATGGTCAACATTGTCTGTCTTCAGACCAGGAGAGCCAGCAGTCCTTGTCCTGCAGTTCCAGGGCTGTGGTTTCAGATTGGCGCCCTCTATTGGTTACATTTAGGGTTAAAGAGGAATTTCACTAAATTTTCAAAATTTCTGCACTATTCATTTAGTGGTTGAGACGTAACCAAAGTCATTCTGAGCGATTTGATGTGAAATGGTTCATTAGAGAGAAACTTACTGACTGATTTCTTTACAGTGGTGGTGATTGGAACCAGGGGTCATGACTGTTACAGTGCAAATATGGTCATTTTTTACTATCCAAACCAGTGAGCCTATACAGCAGCACTGCTGTGTCTGATCCACTTGTGCCAGCACAACACACACTAACACACCACCACCACATCAGTGTTACTGCAGTGCTGAGAATGATCCACCACCCAAATAGTACCTGTTCTGTGAGGGTCCATGGGGGTCCTGACCACTGAAGAACAGGGTAAAAGGGGGCTAACAAAGTATGCAGAGAAACAGATGAACTACAGTCTGTAACTGTAGAACTACAAAGTGCACCTATATAGTAAGTGGAGCTGATAAAATGGACAATGAGTGTAGAAACAAGGAGGTGGTCATAATGTTATGCCTGATCGGCGTATGTTACACATTATGCTGTCGGGCCCAAATCTTAAGCCACATTATGCCCTAAAACTGCACATGTGAAACTGTGGCTTCTGCAAATGAATGTTATTTGTCATTTTAACGTTATTCTGTAGCCCAGCGTTGCATTCCTGACTCAGTTTAACAGAACACACAATTCTGCATCCTTTTGAGTGTTTTCATCCATCACTGTTTTCTCACTACAATTCCCAGCATGCAACATGTTGTATAAATGCAGATGTGATATTCAGCTTCCTAGCAGTCACATTAGCTATATAGCCTCCTTTGCGTTTGCCAGCTAGTGGGAAAAAAATTCAAACAGCCCACTTTCATGTATTCACCACAAAAAGATCCTCCCACCTTAAAGACACATCATCAGAAATGGGTTTTTATAGTTTTTAAACAGGAAAATCTCACACTCTGGACTATAGTGCCACTGTGTAGCAGCTGAGTGGGCATGTCTACAGCAGATGAAGCAATGGTGACATTATTCATTTAGGCCATAGTGTCCTTTTAAGTTCTGCACTACCCTGGATCATCACCCTCCTTCCATAACAGATAAGCCACACAGTCCATCTTGTTATGTATTGACTTGGGGTGATATAAATCACTATTAGGCTGTAAAGAAGTAGAATAGTAAGTCCAGAAGTGCAGTGATACCAGTCTGATGCTTCTTGCTATGATAAGTACTCCAGCCACTGCCAGCCCTGTGCTGATGTTCTGCAGGAAGAAGACAAGTGTTGTTACCTCCAAAGGAAAAGAAGAGAGCGTACAAGTGTCTATAAAAAACAAGAAGTGGACATGAGCTGATATGGATGGTTTATGCTCAAATTCAAGTTTAAATTCCCTTTTTTTAAATTCTAATTTTCCGTTCCACCTTAAATGGCGCCGCAAGTTACACGATCATGCTACAAAATTGAACGGCTGCTGCAGCATTTAAGGTGGAAGGGAAAATTATAAGCTAGAAAATAACGTCAGCCTCATTTCTGCTCAAGGCTAGCTACCTGAAATGTATATTTCTAGTTGTATATATGCCTGTAGGTAGTTTTGTATATATTCTTCTTTTTTATATTGTATCACTCTTATTATCATAACTGTCCTGTGTTGTGTGACTGCTAAATTTCGGGATCAATGAAGCATCTATCTATCTATCTATCTATCTATCTATCTATCTATCTATCTATTTTATTCACACCATGGCTTAAAGCACATTTTATAAAGAAAAAAAATCATTCTATAAAGTAATGAAGACTTTGGAAGCATAACTAACACGTTCAGTCTGCTATTTACAGCATTTAACACGCTGGTCTACGAGGCTGAAGTTAGCTTCTTATTCGAACTTTTCCGTTCCACCTTAAATGCTGCAGCAGCTACGTTCTGGCGCATCAAGCCTCATGCGCCAGAATGCGTCTGCTGCCCCATTTAAGGTGGAACGGCTCAATTCGAATAAGACGCTGACTTTAGCTTCGTCACTGCTCACTGTTTTTGTCGGTTACTGAGGTCACTCTAAATGAAACACCTACCCGTACTAGAGTCAGGTTCTCGTCCGCAAACTTTGACACCACTGTAACGATATTTAACGACTGCTGTTGCTCGTCTTTCTCCTTTTTATCAGCACCCGAGTCCGGCATATTGTTTACAGTACGAAAAACTACAAACTAAGCCCCGCCCCCTCAGAGACGGTAAGCGCCGTAGCCCAAAAAACAGAAAGGCGTTTCTTTCCGTATTGCAGGTTATCGAACAGAAAACAACATGCAGTGTTGCAGAATCTTCTTTTAATCACATATAAGATATGTCGTTTCTTCATTTAACGTTACACTTTGGGAATGCAGCTAAAAATGTTCCTCAGAACAATTCAAAAGGTATTTACAACTCAAGTGCAGCCGCGTTACAAGTGCGGCCCTCCCCCCACAGAACTGTTCACCCACAAACACGACGACCATGGACTTTCCAAATGCACTTGAACAGAAAAATGCATAACCGAGGTAAAGAAGACATTAAATAGGCATCTTATACATGGCTGTATTTTTTTCCAGTGAAATATCATTATCCTGGGTGTACTCTCCAAAGTGCTGGTGACTCACTATGACATCAGCTAGATATAAAAGTGGCCGCAATGAACATATTTCACCAAAACGTATCAGGCAGATGGGAAGAATTGCTGAAAAAAAATATGAAACTGGATCAGTAATCAGACAAACAACGACATTTCCTTCAGTAAAGACGCTGTAGGTAGCTGGCATCGTGAATTCAGTCACACGCATCTAACTTGCACCCAACATACTGGCAAGAAAACATATAGAGACAAAATAAAGGCAGGAGATATGAGCCATTTCAGGCATGACAGGTCAATCCCAGATCATTTTTGAGTATCCCTGATCCTTAGTCACTTAAAAAAACAGCAAGATCACTAATAAAAGGAGAACACTTGGCATGATCTCATCTGTGTGGTGCAACCCCTTATATATACACTGATCAGGCATAACATTATGACCACCTCCTTGTTTCTACGCTCATTGTCCATTTTATCAGCTCCACTTACTATATAGGTGCACTTTGTAGTTCTACAGTTACAGACTGTAGTCCATCCGTTTCTCTGCATACTTTGTTAGCCCCCTTTTACCCTGTTCTTCAGTGGTCAGGACCCCCATGAACCCGCACAGAGCAGGTACTGTTTGGGTGGTGGATCATTCTCAGCACTGCAGTAACACTGATGTGGTGGTGGTGTGTTAGTGTGTGTTGTGCTGGTCTGAGTGGATCAGACACAGCAGCGCTGCTGGAGTTTTTAAACACCTCAGTGTCACTGCTGGACTGAGAATAGTCCACCAACCAAAAATATCCACCAGCAGCATCCTGTGGGCAGCATCCTGTGACCACTATGAAGGACTAGAGGATGACCAACATGAACTGTGCAGCAGCAGATGAGCTATCATCTCTGACTTTATATCTACAAGGTGCACTGACAAGGTAGGAGTGTCTAACAGAGTGGACAGTGAGTGGACACAGTGTTTAAAAACTCCAGCAGCACTGCTGTGTCTGATCCACTCGTACCAGCACAACACACACTAACACACCACCACCACGTCAGTGTTACTGCACTGAAGAACAGGGTAAAAGGGGGCTAACAAAGTATCAGAGAAACAGATGGACTACAGTCTGTAACTGTAGAACTACAAAGTGCACCTATATAGTAAGTGGAGCTGATAAAATGGACAATGAGCGTAGAAACAAGGAGGGGGTCATTATGTTATGCCTGATCAGTGTGTGTGTGTATATATTAAATGGTCACTGTTACTCCAGAATAACCTGTGGATGCCAAACGATATCCAATGCACTGGCAAACTCAGTATTCCTACATAAAGTATGACGCACAATGGGGGTCAATTAGGGAGTCTGCTGTAACGTATCTTCAGGCAGCAGAATAGAACAGAATCTATTGTCATCCCACATTTGGTTCAGAATACAAATAGCTGTCCTGTCGAGAAACTTCCCTTTTGCTTTGGTGCAGGAAAAATGAACATAGCAATAAAACAAATGAGACTGATGTTGAAAATGTTCTACTCTCCTGCTTCAGAACAAACATCGGGAATATTTTTCAATCTATGAACTGCAAACAAAACAAAGCAAAAACCAACAAGGCACAGGGAACTCAAGTAAGCCTAGATATTCAGAGCAGAAGACAAGATGGCAAAGCCATTTCGAATCCTGCCGATACAGTACAGAACCACAAACTACAATGAATTAAACGTATGCCCTTTTCTCCAGTTTGAAATCGTGTACATGGTGAAATGGAGAGGGAGAAGCCACAGTAAAGACCTACCAGTACGGAAAATCGTACTGCTTAATCCGCAAACCGCACAAAGGTTAAAAGTCCTTTATCAGAGCTCTCGGCCCAGCAGCTGGACCGAAGTCTGAAAAGAAAATTACGAGTGTGAGAAATATGGGAAGGCATTGAGTGTCCTGAAAAGGAAACGTGTGCCAGTGTAAGTGATACATCATTCAGAAATGCCAACACTGCTAATGATGAGTGCAGTGCAGGCCAGTGGGGGATAGTTAGCATAATGCACATCCTATCACCCTAATCAGTCCCCCGTCAGCTTTCATTCATTCATTTTTAACAGTGTTAGCATTTCAACTGTTCCTTTTCGAGTCCGAGGCTTTGTGCTCATGGTGTCCGGCAGCGTTATGTTATTTGGGGACCCTGCAGTGCCACGCTGATGGGCTCTCTTCTTGCAACCGTTTCATTTTCTTCCCCAAGAATAGCCACCAGCACAACCCAATGACCACGCACACCACAGACTCCACGTAGTAACCGTCCAGCGCCGTCACACACGCGCCGCCTTCTTTAACACACAGCTGTGGAAAGAGAATGAATAAGAACGGGAGAGTCAGTCCGAGTTCCTGAATTCATCCGTTCTATGCGTACCATATTTAAAAGTGGCAACTTTCATAATGCTGGGTTAAAACAAGACAAACGAATTCCACCTGCCCTGTTTACACAGTCTAACAAAGGAAAACCAAGATAATGTGGATAACAATGAATGAAAAAGTGAAGGTTGATTATAATGACCTCATTTCCACACAGCTGTTCGGCCCCTACTGGTTCTCATTAATTAAGGGCAATAGAAGCATTGCTGAGGGAGGATTTCCACTTTATCCTAATACCACTTTATGACATCTGTGCAGCTTTGTTTACGTACCGAAAACAGTCATAATTCATTTTTACACGCCCATTTTTTCAACCTTGGCTTATCCCTTAGATTAAAACTGGCTGTTTTTGTTTGTACCTTTAACACTGACATATGTAAATGACCTCTGTTCCAATTGACAAAGGGCTTCATTCACCAATATCTTCCTAATTTCTTCTCAAATTTCTTCTTGAGAAAGGTCCTAAGAAAAAGCCTGCGTTAGATTCATGACGTGTTCTTACACCACAGAACTGTTCACAGCTTTGTGCTCTTGAGAGGTGTAGATTCTGATCTTATCTAAGAACAAATCCCAGATAACAAAGAAAACATCGCTGCATGTCAGAATCGTCGTAAAAACTGCGTAGGTGGGGAACGGTTGGTGAATGAGGCCCAATGACCTTAAACTGAGCTTAGTCTCCATATATGGACTGTATGGATGAAGGACTGAATGGAGCATTTTAAAACTTCATATACTAAAGTCTTTTACTTCCAAATAATAAATAAATAAAATGAAAAAACAGAAAGAAAACTCTATTTTCCTTGATACAGGCTAAGTTTTTACTGGCTGATCTATCATGCCTCGTTCAAAAAAGCAGCCCAGGCTCAACCAATCCATACACTGATCAGGCATAACATTACGACCACCTCCTTGTTTCTACGCTCATTGTCCATTTTATCAGCTCCACTTACTATATAGGTGCACTTTGTAGTTCTACAGTTACAGACTGTAGTCCATCTGTTTCTCTGATACTTTGTTAGCCCCCTTTTACCCTGTTCTTCAGTGGTCAGGACCCCCATGGACCCCCACAGAGCAGGTACTATTTGGGTGGTGGGTCATTCTCAGCACTGCAGTAACACTGATGTGGTGGTGGTGTGTTAGTGCGTGTTGCGCTGGTCTGAGTGGATCAGACACAGCAGTGCTGCTGGAGTTTTTAAATACTGTGTCCACTCACTGTCCACTCTATCAGACGCACCTGCGTCATTGGTCCACCTTTTAGATGTAAAGTCAGAGACGATAGCTCATCTGCTGCTGCACAGTTTCGTGTTGGTCATCCTCTAGTCCTTCATCAGTGTCACAGGGCTGCCCACAGGACGCTGTTGGCTGGATATTTTTGGTTGGTGGACTATTCTCAGTCCAGCAGTGACACTGAGGTGTTTAAAACTCCAGCCTGATCCACTCAGACCAGCACAACACACACTAACACACCACCACGTCAGTGTTACTGCAGTGCTGAGAATGAGCCACCACCCAAATAGTACCTGCTCTGTGTGGGTCCATGGGGGTCCTGACCACTGAAGAACGGGGTAAAAGGGGGCTAACAAAGTATGCAGAGAAACAGATGGACTACAGTCTGTAACTGTAGAACTACAAAGTGCACCTATATAGTAAGTGGAGCTGATAAAATGGACAATGAGTGTAGAAACAAGGAGGTGGTCATAACGTTATGCCTGATTGGTGTATAACTTCAAAATAAATGGGCAGGGCTAAACTGCTATAGGTCAAATAGGCAGATATATGAAAATGTGTTGGCCATGCAGGGCTAAAGGTGCTGTTTCACTGTGATTACACAATATACGCACTGTGAGCTGCATGGCAAATCCTTAGTAGTGTGGAGATGATGGTCAGCTTACCCCAGCTTCTTCGACAGAGCCACAGGTTTGGCTGGCCGCTCCCCGACACTCTTCAGAGGTGAGGGGGTCCACCAGCCACAGGGCCATTGTGGAGGCCAGTTCCCCCCCAGGTTCGTCACCGTGTTCAGCAGAGTCATGTATGTACCGCCTATCACTGGGTCGCTCACCTTAGCGTGGAAAGCCATGCAGGCCACATACATGCTGTACAGTGCCACCTGGTGGACAAACAGAGAAGACATAAGATCAACAAGGTGCTAAATGTATTGAAACAAGGCAGAAATAAAAGAAAATTTACAAGAAAAAGAAATTTACAGCATCTAATATAGAATTTAATATTTTTAGCTTTTGTATATGCTATGTTTAGCTTTAAAAGACTACAGCTGAATCGTAAATGGTTTCCCGCTGCCTAGATAGTGAATGACACTATGGCTTCTGTGCCCTAATAGTGCTCTAAATCTAAGACAGGGAGTCGTGCAGCTAATGGCTGAATATAAAAGGCTTCCTATTTGACATATAATGTGCTGTTTAGCCTATTCAGCCTAAATAGTTCCTTAGAAATCTATTACTTGAATCAGTATTCATCTGCATACATCTAAGTCTTTTGCTCAGATTTGCTCCTCCCAGCGATAAACATCAGTGGGAGTAACATCCAGGTGTTATCTTTCACGCTTTTACACTCTCAGAAATAAAGGTATGAAACTGTCACTGGGGTGGAACCCTCAAAAGTACATTTCAGTACCTTTAGTCAGGAAACATAACTGTACCATAAAATTATATTCTCTAAGTTGTACTGACTCCACACACCCCGTCTCGTCTCCAGGCCTTTATTTTACTGTTCTGTTTTAAATCATTCAGTTATGAAAAGGTACAAATACGAACTTTTCATCTGGAAAAACTGATTTAAGGTTCACAATCAGACCTTAAAACCACTGTAGTACCTTTGAGGGATCATTTATGTTGTTTGTACCTTGATGAACAAACCTTTATTTCAAAACAGTGTATTACTGTGTGATATGGAGTTAGCACTGACTTAGAAATATGATTAAAACTAATTTTCAATATACACCGATCAGGCATAACGTTATGACCACCTCCTTGTTTCTACACTCACTGTCCATTTTATCAGCTCCACTTACTATATAGGTGCACTTTGTAGTTCTACAGTTACAGACTGTAGTCCATCTGTTTCTCTGATACTTTGTTAGCCCCCTT